TATGCATCGGTCCACATTGTCATACCTTATTAGCACAACAAAATGAACACCGAATTCATAGAAGTAGTGGTATATCATAGTCAACCTTAATTATAGCAAGTCTCATTATTTCTCTTGAAATAATCAATACTGTTCTTTCTAGTTTGTCAGTAACCGAGATGAATTTGGGCTATGAATGAACCTGTAATATGACTCTATAATGGTTATTCATGCTTTATACAAAAAAAAGACATATCTTTACAAATATATTAATCATAGGGTCAACTAAAACATATCCCGAGGATAGAAATAAAACATCTATACTTGTTTCATCCTATCTAAGATAGTATACACACAAGGACTATACAATGATACATTAAAGATCTTATATAGTAACTATATAGCTGAAAACAACATCAAAATCTATAGTGTAACGATATAGGCAATCGAAAACTGAACTTGATTACTACTCAATAAGAATAGTATTGAGGGGGAACAGTTTACAGAGATTAGTTCTATATGAAAATGATTATTGATTGTAGACTTGATATCATGTGAATAACCGTGTAAAATCAATAAATTATAGAAAATTATAGATCTTTTACTAACAGAGATTCATTCATTTGTTTATACCCAACTGTTAGATGATAAGTTTTCATGTATGAACGGTTGTCTTTTTGTTGAAGGTTATGAAATATCTATCATTTTACAGTAGTTTATTTATGATGTTTTTCTTGAACGAGGTAGTCTGGCCTTTCTATCGTAATGAACCAATAGAAATATACTTGTTGGAACAATCGTTCCTCAAGGACCTGCCATGCCAGACAGGTCGGTTGAAGAGCGATAAGACTAAAAGCATTAATTCCAAGATCTGAGGGTGAAGTCATACTTTTGAGTATACAGAGGTTTGACGGCAGTAATGTGTGTCTGTAAGACAACCAGCATAATGATCTAATCGAATAAATTTTCAGGAATTGATCTCCTACCAGGGGGCCTACTTATTGACTTAGAATACATAGATGATATAGTTCTGTTTCGTGAAGATGCTGATAAAATGCAGAGTCTTTTAGTAGCACTGAACCACAATACCAGAATGTTTGGGATGCACTTCACCTCTAAATGCAAGTCGTTGATTCAGGACTGGCCTGTATCAACACCTAAACTAAGGATAGGGAGTGAAGTAGTCGAACGCGTTGACAACTTCACTTATCTTGAAAGTCTGATCAGCCCTAATGGGTTGGTGTCTGACAAAATCACAGCACGGATTCGAAAAGCTCGTTTGGCTTTTGCCAACATACGTCACCTATGACGCAGGTGAGATATCCGCCAATGAAGCTGTATATCTTCATCTACTAAGGTAGTTGGACCACGTGTTACGTATGCCTGAACACCGACTACCAAGATGTGCAATGCTAACTAGTGTTGCGGATGGTTCGAAAAAAGTTAGGGTCGATCAAACCAAAACGTCGCATCAGTTCTTCAAGTCACTAACTTCTAGCCTGAGGTACGTTGGTAGACGTAAACTACTTGGTTGAAGTCCACACAACTATTCTTATCAATGGTTGGAGACTCTGTGATACATAGATCATAAGAGATCACAGTGAAGTAGGTGCATACAGTCTTTGCTCTCAAACAGTGAGATTAAAATTGAATAAGAAAGATTAGTTCAGCGTAAAGAGTTCTCCCCTTTTCGGCGAATTCATTTTCAAAGCTGTACAATCGCAAATAGATATGTACTTCTTTTTACAGGATGATAATAATACTGATAATAAACTTCTGTTATACATGGTGACAGTGAGGTTAACTAAACAAAAGTATTAAACATTTTATAAAAAAAGGAAAGTTTGATAGTCAATCAGAAAAACAAGACTGAAAGTATAGAAAAGCAACTGATTGATGTTCTTAAGAGAATGATAAATGAGCAGTTAATCGACGAACAGGTCTTTGAGCGCATAAAACCAACAGCATCAATAATACCACGATTATACGGTCTGCCAAAAATACAAAAATCTAGCCTACCTCTGAGACCTATTCTTGATATGTCAGGATCCCCTTACCATTCTATAGCAAAGTGGCTGAAAAATCTCTTAGAATCCGTTAGAAACCGCATTTGTAAACATTCTCTATATGATATTTTTGAATTTATCGAGCACATAAAAGAAGTGAATGTAAGTGACAAAATTATGCTATCTCTGGATGTCGAATCATTATTCACTAATGTTCCACTCACAGAGACCATTAATTTTATATGCAACTACATAAATAATAATAATAAGCTAAACATTGGAATACCGAATGCTTATTTGAAGGAACTTTTACTACATTGCACTTGCAATGTACAGTTCACATTCAACGATGTAATTTATAGACAGAAGGATGGTATAGCAATGGATTTCCCCACTTGGTCCATTACTGGCAGACTGCTTCATGACCAGTTTAGAAAACATCCAACTGAAAACAATAACAGAAAACCTCCACTTGCATAAAAGGTACGTGGATGACACCTTTATCATTTGTGATAATAAATGTGACTTAAATCATCTCCTAAATACATTTAATAATTGTCATCCATCAATAAAATTCACACTTGAAGTTGAAAACAAACAAAATATTCACTTTCTCGATGTGGAAATGACAAGAAAGCAAGATGGTACCTTAAAAAGATCTATCTACAGGAAACCCATGTGGAATGGCCAACTATCAAGTTTCCACAGTTGGGTTCCCATCAGCCGAAAAAGAAACTTAATAATAACACTCGTTACAAGAATACGAAGAATCTGTAGCCCCGAAGTCGTAGATGAAGAATTGGGCCTTTTAAAAGAGATACTTATCAAAAACCGGTATCCTTCGATATTTATTGATAAGAACATGAGGCCGAGAACGCCAAAAACGCAGATAATTACAGTAGAAAAGAAAACCCTATACATGAACATCGACTTCAAAGGAGATAGAGCCACATATGTCTTAAAGAGGAGAATTTCGGACTCTTTAAAAAGAACATTCCCCGCAGCAACATTGAGAATATCATTCTCCAGCCGATCATTGTTTACCAATAGTCTGAAAGATAAATTATCGCATCTGACCAACTTAATGTGCATTTACCAATTTACCTGCTCATGTGGAGCTAGGTATATAGGTCGTTCGATGCGTACTTTATCCAAAAGGATTCAAGAACATTGTCCGGCGTGACTAAAAAGAGGAGGCAACGGCTTAGTAAGAAGTTCTATAATCAAACACCTTGTAAACACAGGTCACTTTATCAAGTCAGACTCTACGTTCAAAGTCATCTACAAGGTAAGTAGAAGTTTTCCCAAGGCAATTAGACTGCATCGTCTTTACATTGCCGAGGCAATAGCCATACATCTGAAAAAACCAGAATTATGTGTGCTAAAGAGACTGGTACAACTTAAAATTTTTCTCTATTTTTCATAGTCTTGTTCCTTTACAGCCATTTGCTTCACCTTCACCTTCATCCTCTACCCACAACTGGTTTATTTTTGTTTTCACGATCATTCTGATTACATTTCATCTCAATTTCAACATTTTATCTTATCATGCTGAGCTATCCTTTCCCAATGATACTTTCCCTATCTATCTTTTGATGGATGCTTAAGCCTTTGTTTATTTAACCTCCCTGTCACCATGTATAACAGAAGTTTATTATCAGTATTATTATCATCCTGTAAAAAGAAGTACATATCTATTTGCGATTGTACAGCTTTGAAAATGAATTCGCCGAAAAGGGGAGAACTCTTTACGCTGAACTAATCTTTCTTATTTAATGTTTCAATGGGTGTATTCAGTTTATTAAAACATTCCAAGGACCCTTCAACAGTAAAGGGAACTTAATAAGATTAAAATTGCTTTATATCTTTCTTTCTACATAATAATTCTTTCTTCCTATACTATTTTCTTATATGCAATGTTTCTTTTATATATTACTATCATTGAAGTAACTACTTTTATGAATTTATTGTTCATCTTCTGCGAATGATGTATGGTAGCTTGAACTGAGGTAAATATGTGTTTGGTTCTACGCTTTAGCTCACTGACTAACTGACATTTCCTTCACATTCTTCTACTCACTATGTTAATTGATAAAGTATTAAACATTAAATTAGGTTTACTTATTACCTTTCTAGTTGTACCCAAACTCTCATTATACAGTATTACAGAACATCATTGAAAAAGATACTTGTAGATATATGAATTCCTACATTAAGAAACATTCAATGAACTAATTTTAAACAGAATCAAATGTAACTTTCAAATTTCACTGTTAATTAGTTGTAGTTTATGCTATGGATGATGTCATTCAAAAGAACAATGAAAGTATTATAACGAAACTATCCAGATCATAGAACATCTTGAACTATTTCAATAGTTAAGATCATAAGTGAATTGAAGCTAGACCACCATGAAAAACTTGAATGCATTGGATGGCCATTTTGTTGTATTGTGGGACTCCTCCTCGCCTCACGAGATTCGAACCCAGGACTTATCAGTCTTGCGGGCGAGCACTTAACCACTAGACCACTAAACTGACAAAAGCTTAACCATTAAATCACTGAGCCATAGATTGGTTGAAGTTAAACATCATCATCATCATCTTCAACTATGTTGATGCATTTCAACAACAATAACATAATTATGATTATTATTTAAAAGTTGAACTAACTACATGTTTAAAAGATGGTTTTGTAGAGATTTTTTTTTAAAAATTTCACTAGTTGAAATCATGAGTCCATTGAAGCTAAACCATTATGGAAAACCTGGAAGCGGGGGGTGGGAGGGGTTGGGTTGGATCGTGGATGTGCACTACTGAAGAGTCCCACAAAAGGACGAAACGGGCGTCCAGTGCTTTTAGGTTTTCCATGATAGATCTAGCTTCAATTGACTTATGATCCTAACCATTAAATACATTTGTTATCATTATCTAATTAATATTGTATAATAAAATGAATAAATAATTCAATATAAAATTTATTAGATAAGGTCAATAATGTAATTGAAACATTGAATGAAATCAAATCAAAATAATCAAACAAACATAATGATTAGGTTAAATGATAATAATTCATTATAAGATTAATAATTACATATTGTGTTAATCTCCTATTTAGTTTAGAATTGTTAAGGTAATACTTTATTTTTTTATTTTTTGTAATTCACATTAAAATGACTGATTATAATTTAATTAAAAGAATTAAAATAAAAAAATAAATAAAAAAACTCATTTAATTACTGGTTAATGAGCAGTTAGTATCATGATCATGATCATTCAAACGATCATCATCAACATTATCATCATCCAAATCATTCAAAACATCATCATCAACATCATCCGAATCATCATCCAAACATCCAAAGCATCATCATCATTATTATCATTATCATCATCATCATCACCGTCATCCGAAACATCATCATCAATCAAATCGTCATTATCCAAATCATCGTCAACATCCAAAGCATCATCATCCAAATCATCGTCATCATCATCCGAATCGTCATCATCCAAATCATCATCATCATCCAAATCATCATCATCCGAATCGTCATCATCCAAATCATCATCCAAATCATCATCATCATCATCATCCGAATCGTCATCATCCAAATCATCATCATCCAAATCGTCATCATCATCATCATCCAAATCATCGTCATCATCATCCGAATCGTCATCATCATCATCATCATCCGAATCGTCATCATCCAAATCATCATCATCATCCGAATCATCATCATCCAAATCATCGTCATCATCATCCGAATCGTCATCATCCAAATCATCATCATCATCCGAATCGTCATCATCATCATCATCCGAATCGTCATCATCCAAATCATTATCATCACCATCTGTACTTACAGTTCAATACAATATTTAAATAAATTAGCACTAAATTCAAAGTGATCTAAATTCACTTGGCGTTGTTAATTTTTATCTTCCAATTTTTATTTAGGACTGTAATTGATCAGTCTTTTATTGGCATATGTTCATTCTGTGTAAACTATCTCGATATTACCTTAAGTCACAAGGATTATAAACAAAGATGGATAATAGCTAGCAGTGGAATCCAGGACATGTGTTTCGTTCTATTTTGGACTCTTCAGTTAGATGTACCTGAATCTCAGAGTTGATGTTTACTTTAGGATTCGAACCTGGTATCATTCATTTCAAACACCATCGCGTTATTGTTACATCCTTGATCTGTCTACTCACTTTTAGTACTGAGAATAACTTGTCTAATCTAGATTAAGACCTTGACACGGTAGGCTGACCGGTTTAACGTTGAGGCTATTATACGTGAGTTCGAAGTGGGGTAGAGTGAAGAAAACTATTCTATCAATTGATTGGCTGACAAGCACACGAGTGAGATAAGACAAGTCAACTAGACCACTACTCCATTTATTCCCAATTCCGATCTGGTTCCCGATTTCAGATCAATGTAAAAAGATACATGAATAAATAGAACACTAACCAGACAATAACGCACAACAATTAAGAAAATACAATTATGTCTAAAGCTGGAGATTAGTGTAGAAAATAAAGTACAAATTAATACGTTTAAATGACAATAGATTTGGAACAAAAAGAGCTATGTCAGTAAATTATACATCAAACGATAGTTTATGTTCTGTAGAATAGACTAGGGACAAAAAAATAAACGTTACTGTTCTACAAGCTTTGAATGAAATGAAATAACGTCCCCGAAAAATAGCTTTCGTAGTTTGTCAAGGTTTCTTATTTCTCTGTTTACATCAGTTATCCACTTAGTTACTAACTCCTAATAGCCGCCTGCTTGAACAATCGGGTGAAGTTTTAAATTCACTTGATGGTGTTTACTTGTATCTTCCCATAGTTATTTAGGATTGCAATTGATCAGTCTCTTGTTTAAAGTATCGGTCTATTGTGAACGCTACTATGAACTTACTTACTTACTTACTAACGCTTTTTACTCCTCACGAAGGAGCATAGGCCGCTCACCAGCATTCTCAATCCAACCCTGTCCCAAACAATCCTTTCCAGCTATTTTCAGTTCTTATTCATCCTTTTCATATCTGATTCTATTTCCTGACGTAATGTGTTCTTTGACCTTCCTCTTTTCCTCTTCCCTTCAGAATTCCAAGTTAGCACTTGTCTCGTAATGCATTTTGATGATTTCCGTTATGTATGTCCTATCCATTTCCATCGTCTTTTCCTAATTTCCTCTTCCGCTGGAAGCTGGTTTGTTTTCTCCCACAAAAGGCTGTTGCTGATGGTATCCGGCCAATGGATGTTGAGTATCTTGCGTAGACAGCTATTGATAAATACTTGTACCTTCTTGATGATGGTTGTACTAGTTCTCCAAGTTTCAGCTCCGTATATTAGAACTGCCTTGACGTTCGTATTGAAGATTGTGACTTTGATATTGGTTGAGAAACAAGTGTTTTGAGTTCCGTACGTTCTTTAATTGAAGGAATGCGACCCTTGCTGTGCCAATCCTCGCTTTTACGTCTGCATCTGAACCTCCCTGTTCATCGATGATGCTTCGCAGGTATGTGAAGGATTTCACATCTTCCAGATAACACCATCAAGAGTGATTGGATTGCTGTTCTCCGTGTTGTACTTGAGGAGTTTGGTTTTCCCTTTGTGTATGTTGAGACCTACTGATTCAGAGACTGCTGCTATGTTGGCTGTCTCTGTCTGCATTCGTTCGTGTGAATGCGATAGGAGGGCTAGGTCATCTGCGAAGTCCAAGTCGTCTAATTGGTTCTGAGCTGTCCATCGTATGCCGTGGTTTCCCTCAGATGTTGAGGTCTTCATAATTCAGTCGACCACCAGAAGAAAGAGGAAGGGAGAGAGTAGACAGCCTTGTCTTACTCCGGTCCTTACTTGGAACGCATCTGTCAGTTGTCCTCCATGCACTATTTTGCACTGTAGTCCATCGTATGAGTTCCGGATAATGTTGACAATCTTCTCAGGAACTCCATAGTGTCGAAGAAGTTTCCATAATTTTCTCCTATCTACACTGTCAAATTCTTTTTCATAATCAATGAAGTTGATGTACAATGACGAGTTCCATTCGATTGATTGTTCAACGATGATTCGTAGTGGCTACTATGAACTACTGAAACGAAACTGTAAATTTTATATGTGTAGAATAGAGATAATAATTGATAGACTAAAGTGAAATTAGTTCAACACATTTTAAAAAAAATTTTATTCCCAAGTGAATCACATTTAAATTCATAAAGTATTTAGTCAGTTTCATTATCTAGAACAATAGAAAAGACATTTACATTGAATAGTTAATAAGTAGCAAGTAATGTTATGTCTGTCCAGTCTTTAGTATTGGCTAAATCTTATTCGTTAATTTGTAACGTATCCAACAGTTTCAATGATTCAATATCATGGGATGGGGGTTCGAATCCAACGGGTAGTATCACTCCCCTAGAGATTGAAGCGATACCCTATTGATGACTGACAGCTGCTATAAAACCATGGAACATAAATACTGAATTTATTTTTGTCACTAATCAATCTCGAACCACTACCAGTGTTAGGTGGTTAGTGGTATTCAAAATAAACCTTGTTTGACCTAGGTTTTGTGTTAGCTGGTAAGGTATACTTTGGATCTTAAGACATCTAGTATATACGCTTCGATTCGAATCCTAGTCAACTACTTTTACAGTTTGAGGCTAAATATATCACATCAGAAAGCTTAAAATAACAGATACCGATTCCAAATGGAGTTCATCAAAGAGTTAAACATATTTTACCGTGGCTTAGTTAGTCTTTGTCAATATAAGGTGTTCGTAGCAAACGAGTCTCAGAGTACCAGCATTTCGCTTAATAGATACACAACAGATGACAATCACTAATACATTTTCCTTCTAATTATCTGAAGAACTTTTAATATTATCATTGTTTTCAGATAATTATACTAGGAACTATCAGTTTTTGAAACACAGGATCTTAAATATCATACATCAATACCTCGATAACGTATATAGGGTCCGAAGAGGGATGTACTAAATTCGCATTTCGCTGTGAATATCATCATTAGGATACAAGAATATCTAGTTACCGGGTGTCGAAATAGAAGAATTATTTATCCTGTATTCCACCTCTAGCTATTTAACAAATAGACAAAAATCATTCCTTGTCGATAAAATGACATGAACTTGACTACCCTTATTAAATAGCACTGTGTGATGTTTGAATGAACTAATGATTCTTTTGTACTTGTTGAATGCTTGATTTCGAATTCTAAATACAGTACATTCGTTTGTGTTTATCTAGTACTTCTTGATCCGATTACGTTATTTCTGAGATTCTTAGTTCGTACTATACTTCAAATACTCCTAATCACTATATACTAATAGTTATCAGCTTTCATCGATACTATACATTCGTTCAGGCTCACGAACGAGACTGATAGGTCATGGGTTCGAATCTCGCGAGGTGGGGATGTGAATTCAAATTACTGAGGAGTTCCATACTAGAACAAAACAGCCATCCAGTGCTTCCAGATTTTCCATGGTGGTCTAGTTTTAATTGACTTATGATATCAACTATTTAAAGTTACTAGAATATTCACAAAAAACCCCTTTTGATACTAATCAACGTATGCTCACTAGTGACGATCTCCAAGAGGTATTTCATAGAGTTCTAGTGAGAAGCAGTGACTAGTGGATTTCAAACGGGTTTGTTGTGGATTTGTCGCTTAATTTCGTGGATAAGTTGAAATTAGACATTAAAATTATTGGATATCGGCCGGCTCACTAGTTTAGAGATGAAGCGTTCGCGGGTGAGATTAACTAGTCCTGGGTTCAAATCCCACGAACTAAATAGTGGATGAGCACTACTGAGAAGTCTCATACTAAAACGAAACTACCATCTAGTGCTTCCAGATTTTCCATGGTGGTCTAGCTTCAATTGGATAGGACACACATTGAGAAAATCATCAAACTGCATTACGAGATAAGCGCTAACTTGGAATCCTGAAGGGAAGAGGAAAACAGGAAGGCCAAAGAACATATTACGTCAGGAAATAGAATCAGATATGAAAAGGATGAATAAGAACTGGAAATAGCTGGAAAAGAATTGCTTGGGACAGGGTTGGATTGAGAATGCTGGTGAGCGGCCTATGCTCCTTCACGCAGAGTAGCAGGCGAAAGTAAGTAAATAAGTCTAGCTTCAATGAACTCATAATCTCAACGATTAAAAGTTACTAGAATATTCACAAAAAAACCCTCCCTTTCTGATAATATAATTAATAAATCATTAACATTCACATTCACAATATATAACCATATTGAAAAATAAAAACTAGATATATTTTCTTTTATTTCAATCATTCTATTCATGTCATATATGATTACATATATTAGATCTTTTATAAATAAATAAATAAATAAATAAAAATTACATTACATAATCTATTCAAACAATAGGATTAATTTAATATGGTAATATTTATTGATTTTCAATAAATGAAACCAAATAAAAAAAATTTAAAAAAATTTTTTTTTGTTTTTTTCTCCCCCTTCCTCTCCCTCTCTCTCTCTCGCGCTTAGTAACAAATATAAAACAACCTCATTTGTTTTGATCATTAAACAATAAATAGTTATTCTATTTAATACAGTAATACATTCGATAAACAGTGATAATATACAAATCATTCAACAGTTATATATATATATATATATATATATATATGCTAAAGGTGATATTATTGTTGAAATAACATGAATTATGTCAAAGATTAGAAAAGAGAACAATAATAACAACCATCTTTTTACATGTATTTGTCATGTAAGATTTCACATATTCAATAGATAGTTAGATATATAATCATTAGTACTGTTAATACAATCCATATATAATAAATAAACTTGAAAAAGTGAATAAAACAAAAATTCTCTAAATGAATATCAACAATAAAATATAGTTTGTATTTAAAAAAGAAAAAAGAAAAGAAAAGAAAGAAAAGAGAAAAAAAGAAAAAAAAGAAGAAATCAATCAATTCATCAATCGATCGATCAAATTGATAATAAACTAATACTTATCATAAAGTATAATGATAATCAATAACTTTCAATAGATGAATATGAAAAGGTCAAAAAAAAAATTAGATTACTAATAAAACTACTGATTATTAGTAGTATATTAACGAAATAGATAATGTAGAAATTCAAATTGACAAATAAATTATTACATATATATGATGTATATATATATATATATATATATATATATATATACATTTTATAAAGTCTTCTTTTTTTCTGATTGATTATTTCATTATATCTGTACCAATTGGTAGATTAGTATCACCGCCAATATTACGTAATGTTGTGCATAATTTATTTAATATATTTATAAAACGATCTGTACCAGTATAATCAATTTCACCACGTTCCCATGCATACATTCGTTCATTACTAGCAGCTTCTAATTGTGCATGATATGAACATAAATTTTTACCATAATCAATATTAGCTAAATCACCGGCTATTCCAATCTTATAATTTGTAAAGAAAAAGTAAAAGAAAAAAAAGAAGAACGAAAAAAAACAAAAATAAAAAAATTTATTTAGTTAAATAGTTACTAAGAGAAAAAAAATTATGTATCATTTAAATACAGTGACGATTATTATTGTGTTTTTTTTTAAATTATTATTATGAAAAGGAGGGGTGGAGACGGATGGGCAGGGGGGGGCATGGATAGGAAGAAATGCAAGGAATAGAATATACTAACTACTTTCTACACTAAACACACACACATATAAATATATATAAATCTGATTAATGGACAACATAGCAATCAATTACAAAATATGAATATGCTAGAAAACTAATGGAAAACAATTCACAAAAGGTTAGATTAACTGTATTCGATTAAGAAAGATAAGTTTAGACTAAAGTCAAGTTATTACTAAGGAGTTATTTTAATATTATGGACAAAATATCCTATTAGTGTTCACCTAAGCGATTAGAACCAAAATATGTTTAGATCTAGTCACTAGAATGTAACCTGAGTTTGTTTAGTAATGACTAATAAATAAATTTAAAAAAAACACAGGATAGCTGATCAATTTTTATTCTTCTTTTATATTTTACTTTACGCTTATAAGTTAGTTCAACTCTGCCTGGAGCTTCTCTTGGGCTACTGCCGGTCCCAAACTCGGATAAAAGAGGAGGGTTGGGTATGAGATCAGTAACCCTATCCTGTAGAAAAATAACTCTCTAAAAAAACGTTAACCAGAAAAAAAATTATAATTTAATTACAAATAACAATAAATTTAATTCATTTTTGTATTGACTGTTTGAATCTTCTCATTGATGTTTAGGACTACAATTGATCAGTCTGTTACTGGTATATGTGCATCCTGTATGGATTGCCTCAATATTGCAACAAATCATAAACATTATAAACAGAGATGGATAGTGGCTAATAGTGGATGATTTAATGAAAGACAGACAAGAGAGAATCAAATGACCAAAGTCGATGGATGTAAATACACTCAACTGACGAGTCCAAAATAGGATGAAATGTGTTTTGTCCTGGATTTCACTGTTAGCCATCATTCATTCCAACATTAAATTTAGCATAAATAATCTAGAAAACAAACAAGCTAATAATCAAATTTATAGATTATCAAGGAATTTAAAATGATAAACAAGTAAATTACAGAGAAGAGCTAAACATAGAAGATATAGCAGAAGAGTAAAGAATGAAACTGATGAATATCAAAGAGAAAATAATAGTAATAATCATATAAAGGTTTCACCACACATATATCATTTACCTTATGGTTTGAAAGCAAAGCAACTTAATAAAAGCCAACTGAGTCAACCAACGAAATAAGGTAATATAGTGATTATTTAAAAGTTAAAATTGAAAGATACTACCTGAAGGAAAGACATATTCTTTACAGTGATTTACCAGGAGTAATTGACACTCTATAATGATCTAGATATCTAGTTAAGCATAAAATAACACACACCTTTCTTAAATGCTGAAATATATGTGAATCACAAATAATCTTCATTACATTCCCATAGATTTCTTAGTTAAGAGTTTTTTTAATTATATATATATCTACCTTTGAAGATGATAGGGGGCTTATAGAACTGTTTTATATAGTATATTAGGTATACTATTATATCAGTTGAATTCAACATATGAACTCGTCATCTAGATGTACCTACATTCTATGATTGATATCCATACTTAAATTCAAATCCATGTATCTTTCTCATACAAACCTTTTAAGGTGTCTTTGTTAAATTATTGTAAAATTTATAAAGCATGAATTGAAAACTTTATTCACTTAAATTATGTACATACATACATAACTAATAAATAATTGACTATTAAATCATATTCGTCTTACAATTTAGTATCGAATTAAGTATACAGTCTTTTGTCAGGAATTCCACCTAGAGCTCCTCTGAGAGCTACTGCCGGTCTCAAACCCAGATAATAGAGAAGGGTTGAGCATGGGATTAGCGACCCCATCTCGTAGAAAACTAACTCGCTAAAAAAAAACACTAACCAGAAATAAATAATTCAAATCTGTTAAACTCTGTTCTAGGAGTTAGAAAGTTTTCATTTAGAAGAGTTATAAAATCTCATGATGAAAGCCAAGTTACCCCTTCTAACAACCAAAGCAACCATTAATTTTGATACATGGAATGTTTATACAATGTGAGAGATCGGGAGAGTCTTCCAAATTTCTGCTGTTGCTTTTGTCAGTAAAATCTATTTCTAAATAATTAATAGATCGTTAATCTATGAGACGGAAACAAATTTTTATCTAATTTGACAGTCACTAATCTTCTTCACAATTGATTGATCACTGGGTGGTGATCAATGTCATATGTGTCAAGTCCTTCTTAGTGCAGATCGAATGCTATCGACTATCTCAGTCCTACAGGAGGTCGGTCACGGCCCGGATAGCTCAGTGGTAACGTCTCTGATTGTGAAGCTGGGTGACACGGGATCGAATCTGTCAGGGAGTACCAGTTCCCTCAAGATTACTGGTACACCTTGCTGACGAGTACCAAGTAACATGAAACCCAGGTCCAGGGTTTCCTGTCGACTACCTCCAACCACACCATCTTATCAATCTTCTTATTTAATCAACAACAACAATAATAATAACAATAAAAAAACTATCATCACAAATTGGAAAACAATCAACACTAAGTATCATTGAATCGATAGGGTAATAATCATTTATAAAACTGGGAAATTTTAGATAAAAACCGTAATCGAAACAAATGATGGTATAATCATATAAAATCAATATGATTCAGAAATCAGTGTTTAGATTCTTGTACACCAAAAACAATAATCTACATAACATGCATGGATTAGTGTAATCATGCAACAGAAGAATAGAAACAAACAAACAAACAAAGAAACAAACAAACTGCACCTTATAAGATTATTTACATAATAGTTATATACACATATAAGATGTTTACCGCAATCATTCTATTATAAGGACTAGACTTATGTTGTGCTTTAGATACGTTGAATGATATTGCTGACGATGATGATGGTGATAGTGATGATGAGGATATTTTGTTATTGTTTAAATACTTATTGTTATTTAATTGATTTTTATAGATTTTCCAAGGATATCCATATTTTATTTTACGTTTTACTTTTAGTTGCCATGCCGATTGATCATATTTTATAGGATCTAATTGTAGATTATTATTATTATTATTATTATTATTATATATTGATGAGGATCGTTTTAACTTGGATTGATTTAAATAATCTATTGAATGAGTATTTATTATCTTTGTATTATCATCATTAAGTTGTATTATATTATCAGCACTATAACTTTGTTTCAATTGTGAAGTGAATAGATTTTTTCGTTTTCTTTTTATATTAACTTCATTATTATATAAATATGATTTATTGTGATGACTATGAGGTCTGCTCTTACTACTAGTAGTATTGGTAGTAGTAGTAGTGTGAGTAGTAGTAGTGTGAGTAGTAGTAGTAGTAGTAGTAGTATTGATAGTGTGATCCATTTGTTTATGATTCAAATAAGCAATATCTAAACCACGAAATTGATTGCTTAATTTATGAGTCCATTCAATAGTTTGATTCAATTGATTAATTGTTAATCTATCATTTGTATTTGTATTTTGATATTTATAATTTGTTTTATAATGATTATTCTTAATAGATAATCTATTGAATTGTTTCATGGTATAATCAATAGGATTAGAAAGTATATGATAATTTATAAAGTAACTAGGAGAATTATTTTTAATTAATTTGTTTTTTATCATATCTGTTAATGATGATATTTTAATAAGTTTTTTATAATTAATTTTTATTGATTGAAATGTTTTAATCATAGGTTTAAATGAACTAGAATCAACAGTGAATTTTCTCAGTTTCATAGGATATAATAAACGTTGATGTTCTCGAATTAGTTTTTCATAACATTTATAACAATTTAATGAATATTTTGATGTGAATTTAGACTTTTCTATAGATTCAAATTGGATAGACTTTATAGGAGATATGTTTGTCATAGATATAGATAATGATTGTTTCGGTTTCTCTGTTTGAATATCATCGGATTTCAATTGCTGACTTAATGATTCTATTTTATGATAAAAATTATTGTTTACAATATTATTATCATATTGTGGATGTTGTTGTTCTATTGGATCATGATGTTGTACAATATTCAATTGATTCTTTTTAATATGATCTTCATGGAATTCATTTTGATTATGAACATGATGAGATAAATGATTTTCATAATAACTTGACTGTTCTTTAGTTAATGTTTGATTTATTTCTTTCTGTTGATATTCATCATCATTATCATAATGTTGATCTTCATGAAATGAATTATTTATAGGATCTTCTTGTTGATAATATTTTACACCAGATAATGAAAGATTAAATTGTGGTGGTAATGGTATTTCAATAGATGATATTTGATGATGTTCAACATATTTATTAGTTTCATCAATACGTTGTCCTCTATGTAAATAATCCCAATTTGTATCATGAAATTCTGGATGATATGGTAATTTTAAATTATCTTCTGATGTTAATAATGAATGATTTCTTCTATTCACTTTATTAATATATTCATTATGAGGAGAAGAATTGATCTGATTGAAAAAGTTCTTATGATTATTATTATGATGTTGATGATTTTCATTCGTATTTACATGGAACTTATTATGATGGCTATTGAATGAATCTTGAATTTGATCATATTTTCTTAGACTATCCAATGAAATGTGACTTAAATACTAAGTGTATATTTTACACACAGATAGATAGATAGATAGATAGATAGATAGATGTGTGGATAGATAGATAGATAGATATGTAGGTGTAACAAAATTGTGCAAATCACAAGCAATAAAAATAGGAATTCAGTAAATGTAATTTAAATCAAGCAAAAAAGTAACCAGATTTTATATTACATAATTACATAATAATCACACACAGAGAGAGAGAGAG